CTCCTTATCCACACCAGTATCCTATTTAACAAATATATGGTGTCAGAATGCTACCAAAATAACTACATGGGAAATTTAAGGGTAGAAACCGGTAAAGAGATACTTCTAAAAACCATCCAAAAACATGGATAGCCTGGGAAGCTGAAATTTTGAGGAATTCTAGTTAAGAAAAGAATATCCAATTCTGAGGACTACAGAGCTGTGAGGGGTTGATTTGTACTGACAAGTCAGCCAGAACCCAACACCAGTGACTACAAACAAAACCCCATGGGGATCAGTGGGGGGTAGAGGAAAAAGGAAAGCCAGCCTGTGTTTGATTCTGAAACTCAACCGAAGATTCACAGTGAATCAGTAATGACTGCCAGATGGTGCTTTGAAACTCCTGACCACTGAGGAAATATATACCAAAAGAAAAAAATACGGCAGAATTAAGATGGCATAAAACATCTGGCTAAACATGACAGTCATGTTTATATCTATTCTCAACACCCCCAAAAGAGCAGTAAAGGAACAAAAATTGGGGAAAGCCACAAGGACAAGCAGAAGTGTAGTGCACACCACAGTGGACAGGAGGCATTAATGTATTTCTGGAAGTGAACAGTGCCAGCTCCCCCAAGCAGCTGGAGGCAGTACCTGACATCAAAGCACAAGACAGAGAGGCAAGCCAGTTCAGTCAACAACAGGACTATGAAGATTCTGGCAAGAGAAGACCAGGAGCTTCTGTAGAGGGCATACGGAGCGCAGCTGAAGGAAGAAGTAAATTAAAAATCTGTATAAAAAGGACTAAACTTCCAGGTTTCCTCTAAGATCTCACACTAAAAACTACCGGAGTCTCATTCTGACAGATGGCACAGTTTACTCTCTGAAGAAAGTAAACTAGAGGCATTACTAGAGGCTTTACTCAAGTGGTAGAGTACCAATCAAGCAAACAAACTGAGCAAGGGCAAGGTCCTGTGTTGGCACTCAAGTTAGGAAGGTGTTCAGTGTTCCTTCAGTGCTCATTTCTACCTTGGTTATTCCATCTGAGCCATTTGCATCCTTTGTTCTGCCTGAGAAAAGGCTCCTGGCCTTTCTTACATTGGTCTGCTCTCTACTATGTCCTGCGCTCAGCTTTACTAGGACATATCCTCTAGCCTCCTATATCAGTCCCAAGGCACATAGTACCCAGCTGACTCCATATCCAATCCATCTTTTTCCCATTTTCCTCTGTAGTTTTTTGATGCTGGTTTTTTCTCTGATGTTAAAAAAATAAATGAAGCATGAGAGATTTCAATAAAGTTGGTGATATAACTGCAGAATCATGGAATTGATTTCCTAAAACTTTGGAGTGAGAGTAAAAGATATCAAACGTTCAACAACAAAGAACATGCTATCTACTCTGAAACCAAGCAAAGGTTCAACTTCATGCTATAACTTTTGAGAAGGGTCATCTAGAAAATGGAAAATTGCACTAAATTGCCAAACAGTACTGAAAATTCAGTATATTCGAAGAAAAAAAATGGAACATGGGAAAGTACAAGGAAGGAATTCTGAAAAGACTTACTGCTTTTGAAGGGTTAGCATTTAGTATAGTAGTATCCAGAGGGAAAGCTCACACCACCCACTGCTTTGCTGGGGAACTTTTCTTCCATCAAGACAACTTCATCCCTAGGCAAGAAGGGTGAGCAAGGTTTACCATATCCCCTGCCTCTGATATATCTACAAATGAGCAAGAAATAATGCAAGCATTTGCTAACAAATGCATCTATGCCATGAAAAGGTCCACCATTAGGGGTTGGAGGAGTTGCTCAGTTGGTAGAGTGCTAGCCACTGAGTGTAAATGTTAGGCACTGAGTTGGAGTTAGGTCTCAGACCTAAAGAAAAGATCAGCCGGGCACTGGTGGTTCAGCCTGTATGCAAGAGGCTAAGATCTGAGGATCACAGTTCAAAGCCAGCCCAGGCAAAAAAAAAAAGTCTGTGAAACTCTTACCTCCAATTAATCACAGAAAAATCCAGAAGTGGTGCTATGGCTCACAGTGGTAGAGTTCTAGACTTAAGCAAAAGGAGCCCAGGGACAGCACCCAAAGTTCAAGCCCCAGGACTAGCAAAAAAGAAAAAAGAAAAGAAAAGGTCCACCTGATGTGGATAAAGAATACCAAGCCAAAACAAAAAGTACTCCCAGACTCAATGAATTATTTCCTTCATTAGAATTAAGGTAAAATCTAGCAGCAATGACACAAAGTCCCAGCTCCTTTACTTTCCTCTTGGGCAGCTGGAAGACTAGATACAACATTCAAACTATGGCTCATCAGTCCATCTTATAGATGGAAAAATAAAGTTAGGCCCAGTCTAGCACTTTTTGGGGGCAGATGGTAGGCTGAGAAAGAATGGTTCACATTCACTAAAGAATCTCTGGGGTTAGACTGAATCTAAAATTTGGCAAAAATTAGCATGAGATAGTCTAAAATAAAGCAGTTTTTTTAACCTTTACTGTTGTATTTGAGTATAAGTAAGCATGTACATGATAAATGAATACCAGTCCTACTTAGTATATGATGAGCCAAATGTACATATAATAAATAAGACATATAATATAAATATAAAATATATGTAATACATAATATAAAATGTACATATAATGTATTGTAATATTATATAATATATGTACATATAATACATAATATGTAAGTGTAATAAAAGCAATATAGTATATACATGTAATATATACATGTATAGAATAGCATATACAAATCCAATATATATTACCACTGATATATGTAATAATGTCTATAGTATTGACTTTTTTGGAATGATGATGAAACAGGGTTTCATTGTGTGGCCAAACTGGCTACACAATTTTTCTCATTTTTTACCTGGGCCTTCCTGGACTGAAAATTTCCTATTTATGCAATATAAGCATGAGCCATCTGTGCCCAACAACTTAAACTTTCCTATATGATTATTAGGATGATAGAAGTTAAATTGACAGTAAGAAAGATGAGTCTCCACTTTCTGTAATTTTGGTGGTTTTCTAAAGTTTCAACCAGGAAATAACAGTACATGTACATTACTTATAACTATGACAGTAAATACCAGAAGATACATCTAAAATAGCTTGTACAGAATGAGACTAAGAGGGATGAGGTAGGGTTAAATGGGTGAACGAAGAGTACTGTCTGATTATGAGTACCTTTGTACTATTTGATTTTTTTTTCAACAACACAAAACCTAAATAAACCAACAACACAGAAGAAATGTTAAAGACCATCCTTGAAAAGCACTTAAAAAATGTTTTGTGGAATCAGTAGAAGATTTTACCCAAGTGAGGCAGCAGTGGCTCACACCTATCATCCTAGCTAGTTACTCAGGAGACTAAGACCTAGAGAATTACATTTCAAAAGCAAAAATGTCCATGAGACACTATCTCTACTAGCAAAAAAGCCAGGCTAGAGGCATGGCTCATGTGGTAGAGCACCAGCTTTGAGCAAGAAAGCTGAGTTCAAGCCCCTGAGTTCAGCGGGGGGGGGGGGGGGGGGGGGGGGAGAATTTAGCCCCAAACCATAAGTGAGCCACAACCATAAATTTACCCTCCTATTGTATTCTTTCTGTTTTTCAAGATACTGAAAAGGAGGCCTTTATTTTAGCCCTTGGGTAGGTGCATAGCCCAGCCATCTGTACATTCAGATACAGAGAAGAGCCACTGTGACCAAAAGGCTTCAGTGCTGATGCCACCCGAGGCAAGGAATCATTTCTGTAGTACTCACTGTCTTTTTGAGTGCCCTGTTTATACATCAGCTCTGAATGCCCATCACAAATTACTTGTACGCCATGTCTCCCTTCTGTGTTACAGTTTTTCTTGGAGGGGCTCCTTTGGGGACCTCTTCCCATGTCATTTGCAAACCTGTGGGCACTGTGTCACAGGCTGGAAGAACAAACATGGCAAGCACATGAGGTGCTTATGGAGTCTGAAGAAGACTAACCCCAAGCAGCTGAACAAAAGAAGCAGTTCAAAAGTTCCTCAAAGGAAACTGATATACACAGATGGGGATTTAAGGAGACATATAGAAAGCCCTATGGCATCTGCAGAACTCATACTGTGGGCTTTGAATTAGAGGGTAGAAATCTTGGCTCTTTCAGGTCAGAGACAAGGGAGGAAGAGAATACAACAACCAAGCTGAGAAATGACATGGATATTTAAGCACAGCAATAACTAGAGGCTGGAACATAATGAAGGTGCTGTTTATCAAAGAAATCAGAGTAGTTTGGGGTCACAGAGGCTGTGCATCAGAAAGGACTCATATTAGAAATGTGGAAGGAATGCAGATTTAGGGATTAAGAGGCTGTGGGACCAGAGAGGAACTAAAGGTCACATCAGATTTTATACACATACACGCACACACACACACACACACACACACACATACACACACATATACATGTATGTATCTTGATTAGAAGCTTAAATTGAGACTTTTATATGTTGTCATCTATTTCTCAGCCCTGAAAATCTTAACAATCTATTCGTCTGATATTGATCATCTGTTTGGCACTTTTCCCAGGAATACCTCAATTCTTGGGCCATGTATATTGCCACTACAGAGAAGTGGTCCACAGGTTGTACATGAATCAGTTTGTAAATTCAGAGTAACATATTAGTGGCTAGTCTGGCAAATCTGCATAAGCAAGGTTTCACAAAGGAATGTGAAGTGCTTAATGGCTTTTGGCTCTGACTCTTCTTGCTTCTCTTCAGCTTTCCTGAAATCTTTACCTGCAAATACTTACATTGTGGGCTCTCTCAATTTTGTGACAAGTTACTATAAGACCCTACATCAAAACCAGCATGCACTCCCAGGATAGCAAGCAACTATACATTTGGAAGAGGAGCAGGCACAGTCATGAATGCCAGCGCCCTCTGTTGGTGGCAGGGAGAATCAGCACACTTTGGCTCTGGCTGGTCCTGTTGGTTACACAGGAGCTTCTAGGTCTGTAAACGTTTTCCTTTGTCTTCTTCTATTGTGAAGGTATGGCGGGGTACCCTGGCTCGCATGCGATACAAGAGGACCAAGGCAGCTCTGACAATAATCAGGCACTACCGGCGCTACAAAGTGAAGTCATACATCCATGAGGTGGCCAGGCGTTTCCAGGGGGTCCAGACCATGAGAGACTATGGGAAGCATGTGAAGTGGCCAACTCCTCCAAAAGTTCTGCGCCGCTTTGAGGAGGCCCTCCAGGCAATTTTTAATAGGTAAGAACTTGTTGGTAAGTGTCATATTCATTTTTGGCAACACACTTGACATAAGAAATTATAATGCCCGCACCAGGATGTTGGCTATGAGGACAGGCCTTGAGTTCTAATCCCAGGGGGAAAAAAGTTATTCATTATCTTTTTTTTTTTTAAAGAACACTTGGAGACATGCTGGTATGCTCCTGTAATTGCAGCACACAGGATGCTGAGGCAAGATCAAGAGTTCAGGCCAGCCTGGCTACACAATCAGACCCTATCTTTAAAAAAACAAACAAACTAATATATCTTGAATATAAAACAATTAATTTGGGGCTGGGAAGATGGTTCAGTGGTAGAATGCTTACCTTGTATGCATGAGGCCCTGGGTTCGATTCCTCAGCACCACATAAGCAGAAAAAGCCGGAAGTGGTATTGTGGCTCAAGTGGCAGAGTGCTAGCCTTGAGCTGAAGAGCTGAGGGGCCCAGAGTTCAGGCCCCACAACCAACAAAAATAATAATAATAATTAATTTGTATTTCTGTGCTAAATTAGATGTTACCCTTGTTAGGTTTTGGTCTCATATACATGGTAAAAGGTAAATAAAAAATACGAAATGATTCCTCATAAAAAGTAGATCAGCTGGGCACTGGTGGCTACTCAGGAGGCTGAGATCTAATAGGATCATATTTCAAAGCCAGCCCAGGCAGAAGAGTCCCCATGAGACTTGTATCTCCAATGAACCACTCAAAAACCAGTAGTGGAACTGTGGCTCAAAGTGGTAAAGTGTTAGCCTTGATCTGAAGAGCTCAGGGACAGCACCCAGGCCTTGTTCAAGCCCCACAACCAACAATAACAACAACAAAAGGCTAATGTAGAACTACTGAAAGCAGAAGTATCTCAACTCTCCATTTGCAGATACAATACCATAAGTGTTCATTTTCAGCTTTTTATGTGCAGCTGAAAGTTTTTTCATGAATGGTATTGGCAATGTACATTGTTACATAATTTAAATTACTTAAATGCATTGCTCACTGATTTTTTAAGTGAGATATGTAGAATATAAAGTTGAAACCTCCATACTGCTCTGTCTTCCCCAACAAACCTTTTGCATGAGAAGCATGGTAGAATGGTCAAAAACACAGGTCCTGGAGGCTGGGTTTATATTCTGGCTTTGCCACTGGCCTAGCTATGTAATATATGGCAGATTTCTTGGTGCCTCAGTTTCCTTCCCTGTAAAGGATCAAGTAACAGCATCTGTCTCATGGATTGCTGAAAGGAGTATGAGTAAATACAACTAAGCATTTTACATAGTGCTAGATACAGGCTGCACTATGGGCAGGGTATATACACAGCCACATACTATGTGGGCTTTTTTCTCCCTCATTTTTAGTTCTATGGCTTTACTTAAAAATAAGTCATGCCAAAAAATCAAGGGACAATGCTTGGTCCCTGAGTTCAAGCCCCTCCCTTCTCTCCCTTCTCCCTCCCTTCTCTCCCCTCTCCCTCCCTTCTCTCCCCTCTCCCTCCCTTCCTTCCTCCCTCCCCCCCCCTCTCTCACACACACACACACACACACACACACACACACACACACACGGATAGGGAGGGGTTGGGTTGGGCTAGGTGGGGGGTGAGGGGGGAAGATGAAAGGAGTGATATCAATCCAGATGCATTGTAGTTATTAACTGACTTGCTGAATGATAATGTCTTTGCACAACTAAAGTAATAAAAACATAATTTTTAAGTCATAGGGACAAGTCCATAGTGCATATTTTTAATGGCTACAGAAGACTAATTTGTTTTATTCTGTACTTTTAGCCCAAATAGTCTTTTTTATTATTTATTTGTACTTTTTTAGTAGTTATAGGGATTGAATCCAAGGCCTTAAATGTGCCAGGCAGGAGCTCTACCATTTAAGCTATGCTTTCAAACCCTTTTTGCACTGACTATTCTTCAGACAAGGTCTTGCTTTATGCCTGGGCCAGTCTGGCTGCAGTCCTCCTCCACGTGCCTCACCATGTCACTGGGGAGGACAAGCGCATTCCACTTTGTCCAGCCATTGTGCTTTCCTAGTAGCAGGGATAATAGGCTCATACCATGGGGCTCAGCCATTGGTTGAAACAGTACCTCAAAACTTTTTTGCCCGGGCTGGCTTCAAACTGCAATCCCCTGATCTCTACCTCCCAAGTAGTTAGAATTACATGCTTTAGCCACCACTTCTGGGTGAATAGGCTTCTTTTTAAGTTTTGAGATTTATTTATGGCCTAGAATTGTTCAATTGGTGTATTGTGTAAAACTCAATTTGCTCATTCAAAAAATATTTACTGAGTGACTGCTATGTTGAATGTATTAGTTGGCTTCCAAGGATATGGTAACAGACAGGAAAGGATGGGAAAGGTAGCCCCAGCTTCCTCAGGGATCAGAGTTGATTAATATATGTATTCATCTGGTCAAGAGTTGGCGAGCTTTTCCTGTAAAAGGCTAGTAGTCAATGTTTTAGGCTCTACTAGATATATATGGTCTCACATATTCTTGTTTTGGTTTGATTTTGGTTTACAATTGGAAGACTTGGCACAAGCTATAATTTACTCCTAAACATGATTTTTTTTCAATCAGAGTAACACCAAGAGAAGTGTGTTAAAGGATTCTACTGTTAACTGCGAATATTTTTTGTTTTTCTGGAACCTCTGTATATATCTAACTGTGTTTTAGGATTGTTCCTCTTCCTCACATTAATTCCTTTGTAATTGAGCCTGCTTCAGTGCTGTCCCTCCTCATTTCATTGAAGCTGTTGGTCTTCTTTATGGCTGCAGCTGTTCTTAGAGGCACATTGTTAAAGTTGGTAGAAGGAGTGATAAGGTTGAGGAGCACCAGCAGCTCTCTCTGGTACTTAATTTCCCAATGTGCTTTGTTATGGTGTGGGGGGGGGGGAACCTCTGGAATCAGTCAGGTGTAGGCCTTATCCTAGGACACACCTGAATGGATGATGAATCTATTATTTCTGTGCCCTTAAACTCAGGTTTGCATATTCTTTATCCAAAGTGCTTCAGAATTTTGAAATATTGACATAGACTTTTCAGTTGAACTGTGCTCAAGGAGTTTGGGGTTTTTGGATAAGGAATGCTCAATTTGTATTACAAGAGCTATGTATCACTAGTGTCTCATTGCTTTCAAAACACACAAATCACAAAACAGGTATTACAAAATATTTGCATAAAACTATTGCAGCCAGGCACTGGGGGCTCACACCTGTAATCCTAGCTATTCAGGAGGCTGAGAGCTGAGGATTATTGTTCAAAGCCAGCCTGGGCAGGAAAGTCCGTGAGACTCTTATCTCACAGAAAACCAGAAGTGGCGCTGTGGCTCAAGTGGTAGCCAGCCTTGAACTGAAGAGCTGAGGGACAGCGCCCAGGCCCAGAGTTCAAGCCCCACCAAAAAAAAAAAAAAAAACCTATTGCAATAACTTCTGTGTACATTTTGTAGGCATTTGACCTTTTTTTTTTTTTTTTAGCATAGTGTGCAATTACTTTGGTTTCATTTTATTTAAATTCAAGAATAAATGGGATCATCTTGCTAAAGCCTGTACCTTTTGTTTATTTGCTTACAGGTGGAGAGCAGCCAAGCTCATCAAGAGCATACCTGCTTCAGACCTGCCGCAGGTCAGGGCAAAGGTAGCAGCCATGGAAATGTTGAAAGGTCAAAGGGCTGACCTTGGACTCCAAAGGGCCTGGGAAGGCAACTATCTTGCTTCAGTAAGTCCAATGTGTAATCTACTACTCCTTTTACAAAGAAAGGAATTTTTTTCTCCAGAATTTAAAAAAAAAAAAAAAAACACTTTCTGAAAAAAGCTACGTCATACCACATGGATTAAGTAAACGCTGTAACCTGGCCTTAGGCCATTTTAAACCTTCCCTTGCATTATTCAGCAACTATTTTTAATTACCTCCTTTTATTATTCCCAAAGATCCATTCCATCCTCTCTCCCATTTCATAATTTTAAATTGTATAAGTCTTTGATGTTACAACCCTTTAGCAGCCTGACATCTGGGGTAAAGAGATAAAAGTATGCATCTGAAATATATAAGTGGAGTTCTAAAGCAGAATTCTGAAAGGTTGCCTCTGCACCTGAAATGCTGAGCATTCTCATTTCATTCTTTCCTTTCTCTTTCAGAAGCCAGATACACCTCAGACCTCAGGCACTTTTGTCCCAGTAGCTAATGAACTGAAAAGGAAAGACAAATACATGAATGTCCTCTTTTCCTGTCATGTCCGTAAGGTAAGGCAAGCTTGAAACAGACACTTAGGGGTGGGGGTGCGGGGGTTTAAAAAAAAAAAAAAGAACTGATTCAGATGAAACCCACTTACTTAGACCTGCAGTAAAACATGACAGTGGTATATAACACACTACCCCGTAAGTAAGCCACACTTTTCCATGCTGAATAGTGTTAGTGCTAGACGGCTGACAAGACTAGTTTTCGAGCTAGGCTGTAACGGCTTCCTGAGGAAGTAAATGTTTTGTTGTTGTTTTGTTTTGTTTTAATTTTATTTTTACCTTTAAGTAGTTGTGCAAAGGAGTTGCCATTCAACAAAGTAGTATATGGGAAAAAGGAATATTGATCAATACCCTCCCTTTCATCACTCTCATACCTCCCAACCTAATCCTTAATTTTCTCAATCTTGTTGGATATGCATTGAATTTTATGACTCTATTTTCGCCCCTTCCTCCATTTTCCACCTCCACTTTGGAGTACCTGATTCCTGGTATTTATATTTTTATAAGTTAGCCTTTCTAAGGTCAGTCCTGGGGCTTGAGTAATTAAGTCTCTTGTAATAACTATTTCTTTCAAAACAAGTTAGGAGGACATCCTTGAAGTCCAGTACTTCTATCTAACTGCTGTGTGTCTTTTGTAGTGCCTGTAGATCTTCTCTGTATTTACGTTCATTTAGTGCTTTTTTTTTTTTCTTTTTTTGGCCAGTTCTAGGGCTTGAACTCAGGCCTGGGCACTGTCCCTGAGCTTCATTTGCTCAAGGCTAGCACTCTACCACTTGAGCCATAGCACCACTTTCGGCTTCTTCTATTTATGTACTGAGGAATTGAACCCAGGGCCTCATGCATGCTAGGCAAGCACTCTACCACTAGGCCACATTCCAAGCCCATCATTTAATGCTTTTATTTATTTTTTTTTATTGTAAAGCTACTATACAGAGGGTTACAGTTACATGAGTGAGGTAATGAGTACACTTCCTCTTGAACATTGTTACCCCCTCCATTGTTTCCCCCTACCATCCCCTCCCTCCCTCCCTTCCCCGAGGTTCTTTTTTTTTTTGATTGTGATTAAATGATTACATAATTTCAAAGTCACAAGTTCATTCTAACTTCCCTGGAGCAAATTGTCTACCACAGTCTGTAATATATAACAGTGTTCACATGTTATATACCATATTTGTGATCAGCAGCATGGGGATATTTAGTAGTGGTTCAACCAGATGAGTGGGAGTTCTTTGTTTCTTAAGTCCTGTTAGTTTTGTCGTATCACCTAACCTTTTGGATTTAGCATCCACTTATCAGGGAGACCATGTACCGTTTGTCTCTTCGTTCTTGGCTTACCTCGCTCAACATGATTCCTTCTAGCTCCATCCATTTCCCTGCAAATGCCATTATTTTGTCATTTCTAATGGCTGCATAATATTCCATTGTGTATAGATACCACAATTTTTGGATCCATTCATCTGTGGTGGGGCATCTAGGTTGTTTCCATATCCTAGCTATTGCGAACAGTGCTGGAATAAACATGGAGGTGCACGTGTCCTTGTATATTGGTTCCTGTTGTTCAGGGTAGATGCCTAGAAGTGGTATGACTGGGTCGTAAGGGAGGTCAATCTTTAGCTTTCTAAGGACCCTCCAGACTGCTTTCCAAAGTGGTTGTATAAGTGTACATTCCCACCAGCAGTGTAATAGGGTTCCTCTTTCTCCACATCCCCTCCAGCATTTGTCGTTGGCTGATTTGTGGATGTGGGACATTCTGACTGGGGTAAGGTGGTATCTCAGGGTTGTCTTTATTTGCATTTCCTTCACCACCAGGGATGATGAACATTTCCTCATGTATTTCTTTGCCATTTTTATTTCTTCATTTGAGAAGTCCCTCTTTAGTTCCCTTGCCCATTTAGTAATTGGTTTGTTAGGTTTGGGAGGGATTAGTTTCTTGAGTTCCCTGTATATACAGGATGTTAACCCCTTGTCTGATATATTGCTGGTAAATATTTTTTCCCAATTAGTTGGTTGTCTTTCTAGCTTAGTTGCGATAGATTTAGCTGTGCAGAAGCTTTTTATTTTAAGGTAGTCCCATTTGTCGAGTCTCTCTCCAACTTGTTGTGACCCTGGGACTCTGTTCAGGAAGTTCCTTCCTGTGCCTATTAGTTCAAGTGTCTCTCCTACTCTGTCCTGCAGTAGTTTCAGAGATTCAGGTTTAATGTTAAGGTCTTTAATCCATTTTGAGTTGATGTTGGTGCATGGTGATAGGCTGGGGTCCACTTTTAGTTTTCTGCATGTGGCTGCCCAGTTTTCCCAGCACCAGCGGTTGAAGAGGCTGTGTTTCTTCCATTGTATGTCTTTGGCTCCTTTGTCGAATATCAGCTGGCTGTAGGCCTGTGGATTTATATCTGGATCTTCTATTCTGTTCCATTGGTCTTCGGGTCTGTTTTTGTGCCAGTACCATGCTGTCTTTGTTATTATAGCTCTGTAGTAGAGTTTGAAGTTCGGCATGGATAGCCCTCCCATATTGTCTTTATCCCCTAGAATTGTTTTGGCTATTCTAGGTCTTTTGTTGTTCCATATAAATTTTTGGACTGTTTTCTGTATTTCAGTGATGTACGTCATTGGGATTTTAATAGGAATTGCATTGAATTTGTATATTAGTTTTGGAAGTATCACCATCTTTACTATATTAAGTCGGCCTATCCAGGAGCATTTAATGCTTTTAAAACATGCATTATGGTTATTAGCATACTTCAATGTTACTAACCTGGAGGTGACACAAAGTGGAGACAGAGATGCTACGCAAAAACAGTTCGAGTACTTGTTAAAACAGACTGAAAGTAGGTTGTCTCTAGGGTGAGAACAACAGGTCTAGAACTTATTGACATTGCCTATGAGAAGTTATTACCATAGGCCCAGTCTATAATGCTGTGGTTTGGTCACCAGTGAGTCAGGAAATTCAGTTACAATATTTTTTCTGAAACTTGTGATCTCATCCTCCATTTTAATTTTCCTTTGCATTTCCCCATCACTACTACTAGCTGCTACCAGTCAGTTACTACACTCCATAGTCTAGTCCTGCACTTTGAGATCCAGAAACTGTATTTTATCACCTGTACCTAGAGCTAATCAAACAATCAAAAAAAAAAGGCTTTTGCTAATCACATTTACCCATCCACACAAAAAAAGTGTAAGGCACATTGCTTATGCAGTATGGTTGTAAACATAACAAAGCAGTGTGCCATTTTTGTAAGTCCTATGCCTAGTATCTAGTATCTGGTATTCCAGCTTTTTTTCTGGTTAAACGGAGGTAATCTCTCAGATTTTGCTGACCAAGCTGGCTTCAAACCTCAATCCTTAGCCACCTCTTTTCTGGTATCTAGATAACTGGAAAGTCAAATTACTAATCAGAACAATTAAAGAGGGTTGCATGGTTTTAAGAATTAGGTCATCAAGCACAGAAAATCCTGGTATCTCTTATTCACTGAGAATTAATTTATATCTGACCATTTTATCCTGGGTTCCTATGGATAAAAACTGAAAATTTCATGCTCCTGTGGTTCAAAGTTGAATGCAAAATACTCTTTCTTCCCACTATAGCTTAGATAATATCCTCTTTAGAATCTTTTAATACCAAAGATACACAAGGCCAACTTAATGCACTTTCACAGAGCCCTGTTCTTTATGCTTTGATTCTTTTTAAAACGGCCACTTTCCATTAACCACAGTTAAAAAGTGTTCTTTAAGGTGAGAGACTTCTGCAAATAGCTCCTCTCACCCACACTGTTTTCTCTGTCTGACTTTCTGGGGAAGCTTTGTCTCTGACCCCCTGTGGCTCTGACTAAACCTATAAACAGATCATTTGAAGTGTTTAGAGAAAATACAGAATGGTAAGAATTTTTTCTTGTTGAGGGTTTTAGCTTTGGGTAGAAGAAACAAGATGAGATGTTATCTAATACTGAATACATAGTCCAGTTTTTCTATTACTTTATGAATTTAAATGAGAGATGATGTTCTGTGTCATACTCAAATGTGGGGTTTACATATGTCTATCGGATTTTTTTCCTTCTTTTTTTTTTGTTTAATTTGTTTTGTTTTTGTGACAGTCTTAGGCCATGAACTCATGGTCTGGGCACTGAGCTTTTTTGTTTAAGGATAGCATTCTTACCACTTGAGCCATAGCAACACTTCCAGCTTTTTGGTGGTTAATTGGAGATAAGAGTCTCACGACTTCCCTGTCCAGACTAATTGAAACTACAGTCCTCACATCTCAGCCTCCTGAGTAGCTAGGATTACAAGCATGAGGCACTGGCTCCTTAGCTGTTTTGATGTAACTAAGTTCCACAACCTAAGACCTGATATCTTTCCTACTCATTTGATTCGTTTTAAGGATGATTTGAGTTTCTGAAGCAGAAAGTAAAGATTAGTGTTGTGTTCTCTTTAGACATTGCATTTTCTGTATATAAAATAACCTTTCTAAACAAAGCTTCAATATGATTGCTACTTTGAAGATTTTTTCATTTATGTTTTATTTAAATGTATTCTTCATGCTACAATACAACCCTTTAAAATCAATCAAATACATAGCATTAAAATGCTTTCTCAGAACTTATCCAATTTAAATGACAACCCACAATCACAGCTTCTAAACTTCTACAAGGCAGCTTCAATATCTAAAAGAACACAATAACAGAACTGGAATGAAATCCCATCTCAATGCAAATTTAAGAAAAGTGAAGAATATTATCAGACTTACCAAAATGTACTAAGATACTATTATTTAATATACCTACTTTTTAACTCTCTAAACTTGTTCCCGACACTGAGAAGGTTTGTATTTCTAATACCTGAAAGATTTTTGTCATTGCTTTATAGATTAGCTTATGTTCATATCATAGAAAGACATATGGGCATTCCATTTTGACTCTAGAATGACCTTGAAATTTTGCAATAGGGTTTTAAAATCATTCTTTTGCATCATATTCATGCATTTCTCAATTTGCTGCCATAAAAGATGTGGCACATTGCTTTTTCTTAGTACACAGATTCTGTTAAATGGTCTCTGCTCTCTGTTCTCAGATTGATGCAAATGGTGGTTAGTATTCTACAACATGGCTTTCACAGAACCAGTGTTTTGTTGAATATTAATAACTGTTTGTTGAAAAAGTTTCCATAAACTAAATACGTTTGAGAAAACTAGGTTTAAACATGCTGTTTAAGAGCCAGGAGGGCAAGAAAGTCTATGAGATGCTTATCTCCAATTAAGCACAGAAAAGCCAGAAGGTAAGCTATGTCTCAAGTGATAGAATACTAGCCTTGAGCAAAAAAGCTCAGGGAAAGCCAGGCACTAGTGGCTCATGGCTGTAATCCTAGCTACTCAGGAGACTGAGATCTGATTATCTCAGTTTAAAGCCAGTCTCCCTAATTAACCACCAAAAAACTGGAAGTAGAGCTCTGGCTGTGTGGTAGAGTGATAGCTCTGAGCAAAAGAGCTTCAGGCACTGTGTTCAAGCCCCAGGACTTGTATGCACGAATGTATACACACTCATATACACCTCCCCCCCCCAAACCAACTGAACCGCCTAACTTTTCTTTTTTTTTTTTTTTTTTTAATTTTATTTTATTTGAGAGCATACTGTACAGAGGGGTTACAATTACATGGGCAGGATAACGCATGCTGTGCAAAATGATTTAGGGAAGCTCTTTTTTTTTTTTTTCTTGTCAGTCATGGGGCTTGAACTCTGGGTTTGGGCACTGTCCTTCAGCTCTTCAGCTCAAGGCTAGCACTCCACCACTTGAGCCACAGTGCCACTTTCTGGTAGTTAATTGGAGATAAGAGTCTCACAGACTTTCCTGACCCGATTGGCTTTGAACCACGATCCTCAAATCTCAGCGGTGCCCAGCTTAGGAAAGCTCTTTCACACACCATTTTCCCCTCTTTTGAAAAGCACCAGGCCTCTGCTGTGGCCAAAGAGATGCTATGTGTACCTAGTCATCAAGAACAGTAATTCCCTGACACACAGGCTGTTTCATACTTCATTACTGACACCATTTTCTGTCAGGTTGAAGATTAGGAAAATAGGCTTTGGATATAAACTAAATGTGTAGAGAATTGGCTGACTTCTAAAACTGCAGAACAAAGAATTTGAATTTTAGTTTCTCCTACCTATAGAAATATATTCTGTTAAATCTCATCCAGCCTGTCCTAATTTACTTATCTGAGTAGCTTACTGAAGATAACAATGTTTTCAAGTTCATCTCTAGCTTCTTTTTTTGTGGTTGTTATTGGTCGTGGGGCAGTTTTCTGGTGATTTATTGGAGATAAGAGTCTCATGGACTTTTCCTGCCCAGGCTGGCTTTGAACCACGATCCTCAGATCTCAGCCTCCTGAGTAGCTAGGATTACAGGCATGAGCCACCAGTGCCCTAACTTCTTTTTTACACTTTGGGTTAGAACTAGGGAGAAAGGGCAGGGGTATATGTGTATATACAAATATGTACACACACACACCCTGTCATTCCTTTCTTTTATATATGTATTATCTGATATATAACTGTATATAAAATATATGATGTATATGAATGTATATATGTGTATATGTATATACTGTGTATGTATGTATATACATATGTATAAACATATATATACATATTTATATGTAAACATATATACACATCAGAGGTCTCTTCTAACTCTAGTTGGAGACTTGTTTTTTCCTTCTTGACAGTGGTTTGAAAGTTTTTACTGATAGGTACATTGATTAAAATAGTACCTAAGTCTATGGTTGAAACATCCTAATTAACAAGTAGCTAGCTACTTGCTTCGAAAATGCCCTGTGATTAATTTTGTCTCTTAGAAAAAGTTTATCTACAAACAAAGAACATTCCCTACCCGCTCATAGCACTCTATACAAATACAAACCCATAGCTGCTCCCAATGTTTTGTGTGTGTGTGTGTGTGTGTGTGTGTGTGTGTGTGTGTGTGTGTGTGTGTGCGCGCGCGCACATGCCCACACGCCAGTATGCCAATCCTGGGCTTGAACTCAGGGCCTGGGCACTGTGCCTGAGCTCCTGTGCTCAAGGCTAGCAACCGACCACTTGAGTCACAGCTACACTTCAGCTTTTTGGTTGTTAATTGCAGATTAGAGTCTCTACAGTCAGACATCTCTTCCCCTAGGTGTTTCCAGACAGATAACTTGATTTCATTGTGCTGAATTGCTGTGGCTTATTATCATGTTTTCTTACAGGTAAATCGGTTTAGTAAGGTGGAAGACCGAGCAATTTTTGTCACTGACCGTCATCTGTATAAAATGGACCCCACTAAGCAGTATAAGGTGATGAAGACTATCCCTCTATACAATGTAAGTTCTTTTGAAGTAAAAGAATCTGTCTGTACCTGGGTTTTAAGAAGCCTAAGCATTCCTGACATTTTATGCTTTTATTTTATTGTGTTTTATACAGATGTTTGATTTTCCCTGGGAAAGATCCAAAGTTTCCAATAGATTAATTACAACATTTTTTAAAGTATGAATATTATGGATTCTGTCTCATCTTCATTCATTAAGTGTTTAAATGGAACTTACTGGCATTTAAAAGGAAATAGAATATATTATGAAAAGATTATTGCTTTTTTAGATTATAAAATATATGCAGCTTTCAGTTCTTTTCACCAATGTATTCTATACACATTTATTTGTTAGATTTCCAGTCTAAATCCACACCATTAATCATATGTTCAGAGTTTTCAAAAGTTTGTGTTCATTTTTTTATTTGAAATGTGAAATTTTATGCGTATATCCTTGAATCTCAGTATGAGATGATGATGTTGTTGAGGAGGAAGAGGAGGAGGTAGAGGAAGAAGAGGATACAGAGTCCCTCTGTTTTGTCCAGATTGGTCTTAAACTTGTAGACTGAAGTGATCTCCCTGTGCCAGACTCCTGAGAAGCTGGGAATATAAGCACAAACTACCACATCTGACTCAGATTTTTTTTTTCCTGTGTGGTAGTATCTGCTAAATGGCTATTCTGATTCTCCAGAAAGATTCTACTAGACAGCTAGATCATTTCATTTGCCAGTTGAGTTTTCTCTGCCTCCTACTTCTTAAAGAAGAAAGCCTGTGATTATCTAATACTAGGATATATGAAAAACACTAGTTAGAGTTTTACTTAAAATTATTTTTGTCACTGCAAAAGAGGTTGAGAAGAATAGTCTTTATTCATTTTATTTTGTTACATTAGGATCCTTTTGCTTTGTAAGGAACAAAGAAGGAAAACTGTTTCCTATCTCTTATTAATGATGCATGGACCTATGAATAATTGTGTTGAATAGGGAGTTGGGATTTGTTTTCACTACAGTGCCCATTACTCTCATTCCTCCCAACTACAAACTGTGTTCCTTTCAATCTACAGGTCAACAGATTGTAGGTAAGGAGAGATAATGTTCTAAGACACTTTTGATTGCATGTAGCTTTCTTAGCAAACAGTTGTAATCTTAATATGTCAGTCAGAGTTTAAGCCTAAAAACCCTGTTGTCTTATAACTAGAAAACAAATCACATTTTGTCAGTCTAAGGGAATGTGGAACCAACAAAAGTTAATTATGATATGCAGTTCCTTTCTTTATGTTAAAAGGAAACCCATCAAATGCATGATATAAATTCAATATTTTGACAATTCTTTGAACTAAAGCAATTTTCCCAAACTTCCCTTTTCATATTCAGTGGCTTACATGTATAATCACCATTTCCCATCATCATTGCTAGTGATTTAATGATTTTTAATGATACTGTGTAGTGTCATAAAATTTAATAATGCATACCTACTATAATAAGTTTCAACACCAAGCAATAAATACATACTATGTTTTAAGTATTCCACCCATGTCCTTTTTATCCTCATGCCATCTTTGTGAGTACCACCCTATGTCCAGTATCCAATATCTTTGCCAAAAGGCTGTCAGCCAAAACCCAACCTGCATACCCATCCCATGGAGGGCTGGAGGTGTGAAGAGTAAAGGGCAAAGGAGTTAACACCCCAGCCTATCACTCCTTCCCAGTGTGGCTACCTTCCCTTCCCTGACCACTTCCTTCTACTTGCCACCATTCCCAAATCAACCTGTGTATTCATCAGCTTTGCTAGGGTCTGCTTCTAGGAGAAAGCAGGTTAGATGGGAAAGGGGACTTCCAACTGTATCTGTAATATTTTGTCATATGACAAAATATGACAAATATTAAGCCTGAGTGATAAGGATGTGGTTATATTCTTCTGTATAATTAAAAACTTTTAAGAATTAAAAAGAAAGTTTAAGGCTAGAAACTTTAATCCCAGACACCTATGGCTCACTCCTGTAATTCTAGCTATTAAGGAGACTGAGATCTGAGGATGGATGTTTGAAGCCAGCCAGGACAGGAAAGTCCACGAGACTCTTAATTCCAATTAATCACAGAAAGAGCCAGAAGTTGAGCTCTGGCTTAAGTGGTAGAATGCTAGCCTTGAGCAAAAGAAGCTCAGGGACAATGCCCAGGCCCAAAGTTCAAGCTTCAAGACCATCACAGACATACACACTCTCAAAAAAAGTAAATCTCTCTGTAGTCTTTCCTTTTCTCATCTCTTTTTTTAATGCACTAAGCAAGTTCTAATTTCCCTTCAGATCCAGGAGGTTATAAATTATTCTAAGGAAGAAAAGGATGATGGAAACACCAAATTTAGAATCAAACTGTAAGGTTTTCAGAAATGAGAGTAGTCTCATTTGTTTCTCATTTCTCCTTCCAAGAGGAAGCCTTCTATGGTTTTTATGGCTCCCAAGGAACAGATTGCAACCACATATTGTCCTAAGTAATGTTTTCTTCTTAATAAGATGCATGTGTGGTAAGGAAAAGAATCACTTGGAACCCTGGGGAGTGCTGCCATTGGTTGGGTTTCAGGGCAGCTCTGTGAGACCATGGTAGCCTGCACCCTCACCAGCAACAGGAGTTATGGACAATCCAAGTGGCAGCCTTTCTTTTAGTCTCTGCTATTCCTTGTGCCTTCTTGCTAAACAGCATGGGCTAGCTCTAGTCCCATGTTGGAAGCAACTACCCAAGCCACCACTGGCATTTTCATCCTCTATAGGCTGAGTCTTTCCATAGCAACCAGTTCTAGATGGTCCAAATATGTGGGGGGGTTTTTTTGTTTTTTTTTTGGCCAGTCCTGGGGCTTGAACTTTGGGCCTGGCCACTGTCCTTAGGCTCCTTTTGCTCGAGGCTAGCACTCTACCACTTGAGCTCCAGTGCCACTTCTGACTTTTTCTGTGCTTAGTTGGAGATAAGAATCTCCTGGACTTTCCTACCCAGGCTGGGTTTGAATCCTCAGATCTCAGCCTCCTGAGTAGCTACGATTACAGGCATGAGCTACTGGCACCTAGCCAAATCCATATTTTTGTTCCTCATCCAATACTTCTAAATCTGTTATTTGTTTTTCCTGACTTTTTCTGAAGTGACATGGATAATTCTTTATTTGGGGCATGATTGATTTCTTCCCTCTAATATTTTTGACTATTATCCCACGGTCCATTCCCCACTGGACTTGGGTCACAGGTTCTGCTAAATTTTGGAGTGTGTCCTTATGTGTCCCTGTGATCAGGAGCGATAGCAAGAAGTGTGGCAACTAGGCCAGATTCATCAGGCACACTTAGGTCATCTCACTCTTTCCAGCCATCCCATCCTAATTGCTAGGATCTAATCTTTGTTAAACAGGCCTTACTTAAAATTATGCTCTTAAGGCCAGATGCTGGTGGCTCATGCCTGCAATCCTAGCTACTCAGGAGGCTGAGATCTGAGGATCACAGTTCAAAGCCAGCCTGGGCAGGAAAGTCCATGAGATTCTTAGCTCCAATTAACCACCAGAAAACCAGAAGTGCCGCTGGGGCTTAAGTGGTAGAGCACTTGCTTTGAGCTGAAGACCTGAGGGACAGCACCCCCACCCCCTGCCAAAAAAAAAATGCTCTTTAATCCCTTACACAATGATTCTGTTTCCTTACCTGCCTCCAGTCCAGGCAAATAGGTCTAATATTTGTTGCTTCCCTAATGCATCATAAAAAAACAATACCCAAGTGGGCATCGGTGGCTCATGCCTGTAATCCTAACTACTTAGGAGGCTGAGATCTGAGGATCTTGGTTCAAAGCCAGCCCAGGCAGGAAAGTCCTTGAGACTCTTATTTCCAATAAATCACCAGAAAACCAGATATGGCACTGTGGCTCAAGCAGTAGAGCGTTCACCTTGAGCTGAAAGCGCAAGAATAATGCCCAAGCCCTGAGTTCAAGCCCCATGACCGACAAAAAAAAAAAAAAAACCCAGTCAGACAAAATTAAGTTCATACTGATTTTTCTAATTCTGATCTATTATCAAATGGATTGTTCTAGCTCCCTTCCTCACCCCAGTTTATCTTTAAACTCCCAGTCCAAAGAGAAACCTGGTTCCCACAGTTTACCACCCACCTACCATCAGGGTTTATTCGCATGTCTAGCAGTATTCAGACTATCAGTCTATGCCCCTAGAGGCCCAGCTTCAGTTGGAGCACAGTGCTATGGACCCTTTCATTGGCCATGCACTTCCACACTTGTCTGCATCAGCACTTTTCTTTCCCACTACCTTCAGTGACATTGTCTTGTAACTTTTAACATAGTTAGGTTCTCTGGTCACATTCTATATTCCTTCTTAGAATCTGTCAATCTCCTAAATAATTTAAAGTGACCACATTAAGATTCATTCTTAGTGCTATAGACATCTATGAGATTTGGCAAGTATATAGTGTCCTATGTTCACAGTTACTCTTTCAGAATAGTTTAAGTTCTCTTAAAAATTTCCAGTGCTGTACATATATATAAATCTCCAGTCCCAGGCACTGGTGGCTCACCCCTGTAATCCTAGCTACTCAGGAGGCTGAGATCTGAGGATCATGGTTCAAAGCCAGTCGGGGCAGGAAAGTCCCTGGGACTCTTATCTCTAATAAATCACTAGATAACCGGAAGTGGCGCTGTGGCTCAAGTAGTAGAGCGCTCACCTTGAGTTGAAGAGCTGAGGGAAGCACCCAAGCCCAGAGTTCAAGCTCCATGACCTGGCCTGGGCCAAGTATAGTGATACATATCTGCAATCCCAGCTACTTAGGAGAAAGAGATTAGAATGATCACAGTTAAGGCCACCTCAGGCAAAACATTATCAAAATCTCTACCTCATCCAACAAGCCTGGTATGGTGGCACACAATTGTCATCTCAATTTGGCAGAGGAAAGGTGAAGATAGGAGGATTATAGTCTGAGGATGGTCCCAGGCAAAAACACAAAACCCTCTCCAAAGCATTACTAAAAGCAAAGACGGGCTTGGGAGT